TCAAAATACTAATTTATATTACAGGCCTATACTATATTTGTTTCCAGTCGTACCTATTGTGTAATAGAGTGTATCTGACGATATTTGAATAAAAAATAATAAAATAATGTTATATTTATAGAGCGCGCATATTGCACATTGCCCCTATGCGCTTTACAGAGAAATAATATAGGCCAATTGAGAAAAAGCAAATAACAATAAAATAATAATAATAAAATAAAATATAAATAACCATAATAACAATAACAATGAGACTAAACTACTCCTATTCCTTAAACTAATTAATGGTTGGCCGTTGACTCCGAGGAGCTCATCCGCCCTTTGTTCAGCTATTGGTTTTTCTTGCTGCTGGGTGACCATAAACACCCTCCCCAGCAGCCACTAAGACATATTTGAGAGGGTTGTCAGTTTAGTCGCCGACGCTTCGACCGGATGGAGTTTAATGTCGTATCCAGGACGTCCCTAACTACCTTAAGCTAGGCTTAACTACTCTTAAATACAGAATATTACTCTTAACTACAATTAGTTAAACTATCCCCCGCCGGACACCCTGCCGGTATTTAGCAGTTTCGGGGCCAATCTATTTAGCAATGAAGAACGAAATCTATTTAGCAATGAAGAGTCTGTGGTCTAATGGTTATAACGCTCGCATTGACAGCGAAATGTCGTAAGTTCGAATCCCGTCAGAGACATTATATTACGCAATTTCATTATTTTTTGGACAACATTTGTTGACAGCTATGCCACACGATGTATTTATGCCCTTACACCGGGATGGTTACTCTGTTTTGTTTTTTAATTCATTATTGTTAAACACAAGGAAGACGTTTTTGGGAACGTCGCAATTTAATGAAGAGCAAGAGCACCAGTAGGCCTTCTCTCAAGCAGTCCCGTGTACTCTATACATTGATTTACCAGTAGGCCTACTCTCAAGCGTCCCGTGTACTCGATACATTGATTTACCAGTAGGCCTACTCTCAAGCAGTCCCGTGTACTCTATACATTGATTTACCAGTAGGCCTACTCTCAAGCAGTCCCGTGTACTCTATACATTGATTTACCAGTAGGCCTACTCTCAAGCAGTCCCGTGTACTCGATACATTGATTTACCAGTAGGCCTACTCTCAAGCAGTCCCGTGTACTCTATACATTGATTTACCAGTAGGCCACTCTCAAGCAGTCCCGTGTACTCTATACATTGATTTACCAGTAGGCCTACTCTCAAGCAGTCCCGTGTACTCTATACATTGATTTACCAGTAGGCCTACTCTCAAGCAGTCCCGTGTACTCTATACATTGATTTACCAGTAGGCCTACTCTCAAGCAGTCCCGTGTATTCTATACATTGATTTACCAGTAAGCCTACTCTCAAGCAGTCCCGTGTGCTCGATACATTGATTTAAACTTTAAACCGTCTTGTGGGAATGCTCTTGTGTTAAAAAAACGAAAGCTTGTGAACGTGAAGATGAATCGTTACGATTCGTCCAAGCAATGTTATACTAAAGCTATGTACAAATCACCCATCTGTCTCGATTGACTTCTCCCACAGTCTTATCTCGCCAACACGCTCACTATTCTTACCAACAATAATAATCTACTCATATCCAGAGGTGACGGAACTAGAGGGTTATGACGGAACTAGGGGATGCTGTGTTATATGGAAAGTGATGTGTGACAGAAATGGTCTGCAGTCAGTTGGTTGTTACCATGCGCCAGTGATGTTGGAGTCACAGTACAGCAAGATGAAACTATTATATAGGCCTAATGCATGAATAAAGTTCGGGGTTTGTCGGGTAGTGAAATGATTATCGTACATTTTAAGTGCTCCCTATATGCATAAGTGTAAGCTAAATTACCGTGATTAATTTAATTAGCGAAGATATGAAGACAATTATTTCGAAGTTCCCTCTTTCCAAAAGGGGATGCAAATGCTTTGTGAAAATGAGTACGCCACGGTACTCATTTTCACAAAGAAACACACACAGCTAGTTAGCTAACAATATGTCAATGTAATTACACCTGGGAAGGAAGGTGCAATCACGTTCTGTTGCCTAGCAAACGTCTGTACTGTATGGATGAATATTTTTTATTATAACCAAAATATTAATAACTACAAGGTTTCTGGGCGTAAATTCCCTTAAAACGAATTAAGGGTTGCACAATCTCCTTGCCATACAAATTACAGCTTCCACTGACGTTTCAGTCGAGAAATACGGGTAGCTGAAGATTTTCTCGAAAATCTGACTACGAAACCATATCGAAATTTGACGTTCCACTTTTGCCCCTGAGTTGTGCTTCGCACTCGCCGCTGAGGGCGGCGTTCCGGGAACCATGCGTCAAGCGATAACACCATTTACATGAATGTATAATAATGAATTAATATTTACATACGTAACTAATTTCTGTGCATAGATATAAAATGCGTGTAGTAATGTGTATTAATAAATAGGAGCGGTTTGGTGCAGTGGTTGCGATTGTACTTCTCACCTTGAGGTCGGATGTTCAATCCCTCGCTGTATATTTCGATAGACAAGCCACTCAAACAATACAAGTCACTTTACCTACGGTTGTCTCCCTCCACCCTCCACCCAGCCTGGAGTGCAAATGAGTAGCTGAAGGTTCAAACACGAAAATGCGCTGAGTACGTCTGCCACATTATGGAATTATCCCAAAAGAGTATGTGTTCCATAATATGTGCTTGATCCAATGACCGGGGGTATAGTAATATTAAGCGGATAGAGTCTCTATATACGCGCTCTATAACCCGACTATTATTATTATATTATATCTTAACCTAGGCCTATCAGTAAAGATATGCTGTAATTCAACCTAATGTTCTTCCAAACTCAGCATAATGTTGTTATATAGGCCTATATTCAATTGTCATCTAAGTGGGTGTGATTTTGATAGCGATAGTATACCAAGATTAGATAGGTCCTAGTTATAAAATACCGTATGTTGCAATATAAACATAACGTGAATACGTAATTTCACTGACGGTATGGTAAATTGGTTCTGGTTCTGGTTATGGTGGTTAAAGCCGACCTCCTGGACTCTGAACGTGCAGGACCATCGTTTAATAGGCGGTCCGCGGGATATATTAAATCTGGCACGTGTGAAAAAAATTAAATTAAAAACAAAAATTAAATTAAATTAAATCATTTAATAAATAAATTCCTCATTATAAATGAAGACAAAAACGCAGTCCCTATTGAAATATATTAACTAGCAAAATTCAAAGAATAGAAGCTTGTTATTTTGAATGTATTTAATCTTGAATTTTCTAATGTTTAATTAATTTTAAATATTTATTTAAAGTACAGAAAGAGAAATTTCTGTACTTTGGGCGAGAAGGATTTTTTGTCCTCGTTTTCAAAATGTCTATTTACTTTTAAATTTTGATTTTTAATTTTAAAGAAAGATCATGCGTGTGAACATGGCTCCTATTGTATAGAAGATGAAAATGTGCATGTTAAGTTTGTACGCAAGCTTGTCTTTGAGTCGGGTTAACCCAATGAAATCTAAAAAATAAAAGTTAATCTGCTATTAAAAAACGCCAAAGATTAAGTTAGTTCTAGATATATATATAGAAAGGCTTGGGAAGATTTGTTAATTTAGTATAACTCAAAATTGAGGTGGTTTGAGGCTTACTTTACAGAATATAGCACTATGGAGGTGGCTACTTGTTACCTGCTAAATATTCCCCACGGACTTTTTTTTTTCACCTAGAGAGTTATTCCCCAGGCTATTTTTCCACATTTCTCGACGTATTGTTACTCCTAGTTTTCCCATTGATTCTTTTTCCATCAGGTTATGTTAATTATACTTTATAATGCAGAACGGATTATTTTTTTTAATATTTTTTAGTTTGTGTTTTCTCTATATCAATAAATTAGTGTCTAGTAATTGTAATGTTACATTAAAAAGGTGTGTCGATGATACAAAAGCGTTCAATCAATTGACTAATTGACTTATGATGCATTCGCAATACAGTACTGATGAAGCCTAAATACACATTGTAGAAACGTTTTGAAAAGTTTAAATCCGGGTTTACATAAGAAATAGAGAAAAGAACATAGGATATCTTAATAACATTTTGCTATTCTAGAATTTGAATATCACAACTATTTCCTAGTCAATATACCATCAACAAAACAAAAAAACTCCGGCAAGTAGCGGAAATAATTTGTCTGTACTTTTACTACAGTACTTTTGGGGTCAGTGCCCATTAGTGATTTTCTTCTACGATACGCCTACTTTTATTTCAAATTATCTGTTACGGTTGATGGTAGGAGAACATTCCTATATCATTAAATATATTTCATAAAATTAATGTTATTTAATTTGTTTATCTATCAGAACATTAGGTTAATTTATGCTTTATATGCGTATTATATATATATTTAATGTTTATGTTACTAAAACGTTTATTATACACCGAATGCAATTTCTTATTGTTTTAACCAACTAGGGTGTGAACAGAATATTGACAATTATGTATTAGGCCTATTTGCTTAAAGTCAGGCTCCGGAGGAAAAACAAAATTTGATATGTTGTAGAACTTATTTTTGAGAGACAGAAAAAAGTTGTTTGATGAAAAACTAAGCAACGGTGAATGAGATACAGATCTACAACATATCAAAAAATTTTTTTCCTCCGGAGCCTGACTTTAAAGTTACAGAATTAGTTACCATATATTGTTGTGTAGTACAACAAAAAGTAGAATTTGAAATTACCAAAAACGTTATAACGAGTTGCTTAATTACCGTACCCGCACTCAGATACTATCTTTGGCCCCTGAGCCCAACTCAACAATGAGGGAGTGTAGGAGTATAACAGGAAGGGTAGAAATAGTGTCAAATGATAGCAAAGGTTCACCACCGCAGCTTATTCATTTTTTGTTTGTAATGAAATGTTTTTGTACATAGTTCAGGTGCTAAAATTTTAAAACATACATTGAAACATTGTACGTGGCTTTATTAAAAATACTCCCTTACTTAAAAATGCTCAGATCGTCGGCGGAGTGCCAAGGGGATTCGCCCCAGAACCCCCGCTGGGGCTCCTACCCTGGAACCCGGCAGGGGCTCTGGCGGACCCGGTACGCGTTTCAAATCCCGCATTTCAAATCTTTCAGGTTGGTAACTATGGGTTATTACAACATCTCCTTTACTTCTCCAAATACATTTCCATATTTCGAAGTTTCCTTTATTGTATTCCGTTTCTAACATTGATTTTCTTGTACATCAAGTACAAAAATCGTAGTAGCGCCCTCTTTAGATCTTCACTAAAGAGTGACGACTGAGAAAAACAGCATTTCTTAACATTCCAAAGTCAACAAGGTTTTAAAAATGTTAGAATGCATTTCTCACGAGTTACTTCAATTCGTGAGAATTGTAATGTGTTACTTGAATGTATTCTCACGAAATGTAATTCTTGAATGTATTCTCACGAATTGAAGTAATAGATTTAACGCCCAAATCCATCTATTTATGTCCGATGAAATGAACATTTTTGAATACTTTTCACTTTATTGGCTGGTGTACAGGGATTTCACATTTTTCCAATTCGTCTAGATTTGAATATGTAACAAATCTTTGTGATAAAATTCCTTCAGTTTGAGATTTTTATTTTTTATTTTGTTATATTATGGAATGATATTGGTCTTTTTAAAAATATATTTTTGGTACAACTTATTTGAAATAAAAGAATTATAATCCGGAAGCATCGATTCACCGCAAGGCAGATACGGGTTTATGTTGCGGCGCCTTGTAAAACAAGTCGTCTGTGCTGTGTCTTCGATGAACGCGATCAAGAAACGCATTTCGCGTCAATTATTCTTATAAAATGACATCAACTCTTGATATTAATACTTAAAGTAAAGTGATAATCAAATTTAGCAAAAGCATATTGCCGACGTCGTCGTGGGGTTTGTTTACACTGGGAGGAATTAAACGCGAGAGTTAAATTGGGCAGTATCTGATCGCCGGTCTAGTTACCGCCTGTCTTAAAGTGCATTGAATCGAGCAAGATGGCACGCATTCGAATGAAGAATCACAAGCTAGACATATACAGACGTCATAGTTGATTGTTGCATAATGCACATGAGGATACTAACAATATTCTATATTTATATTTGTCAGTGGTTGCTGAATGAAATTAAAACAAATATAAATATGATGGTACTCGCGAAGGTGAAGTGGGGATCGATGAATAAGTGGGCCCATCCCCGCGCCCTCCCCTAGACATACGCCACTGCAATTACTATACAATAAAATATTAAATTGTGATTTATGTTTTGCCGAAGTGCATAATGAAAAAATTCAGTCAAATTAAACAATGATAAATTTAATTTCAATTTGAAAAGGCAACATTAAAATGTAATAGCATAATAGACGCGTTAATCAAAGGAACAACTATGAGACCTTATCTGAATATAATCAATGAATTCTAACCAGTTGGTATGACTCGGATATTTTTTTTTTACATATTTGATAATTTTTAATTTATATATAAATTGAAATATATATAGGCCTATATCGATATTTGTATTAATTATTTTTGAATATAACACACCTAAATATATCCTTGTCATTTGTTGGTGGATTTCGTATTACGTGACACTGGTTATTTTACATCACTTCGTGACTTATCTTAAAAAATTAGTTCCATGCGTGTATTTTTTGTTCCATATTAAATACTGTAGTTGATAGTTGGTATGAGCTAATCTAAACATGTGTAGACACAAAGCAAATGGATGGTGTTCGTTTAATCAGGAAGCAGTGTCTTGTTTATTCGTGTTGAAGACCACATAAAATGACAATAACAACCGTGTTGTCACTGATCTGTTGATGTTGTGACGGTTGCTTGTTAAACATTAACAATAACGCCCAAGAAGCCAAGTAAGATAGACCTCCACCACACGTAATAAATGCCACATAATTTAACAAATTAAAAAAAAAAATGTTGGTACGTGGATGCATGCTTTTAAACGGCATGTTGCAACTCCATACTTCTTTACATCGATATTGTTGTTCTTGTTTAATGTCCGACAACAGCATCTTGTCTGGCATAGTTTGGAATGATTATTTGAACAGATAAAATTGTAAGCGCCATGCAAAGAAATGACGAAATCACGTTGAAAGTACATTTTACTAAATGCAAAGTGCCAAATCGATATGTTGCTCTTAGGTCCGTCGCTACTCTCGATCTTACCGGTAATGCGCCGTTAATGCTTTACTAAAACTATAGTTGTTCCCTGCTACAACCACCCAAAATATAAGTTGCTTGCAGAAAAGACATAATAAATGGTTCGGCCTGCCTTATTATTCTTGTATACTTTACTGCATTTTATTTGTCATATAATTATAAATTCTTTTAACAATAGTAACGACCGTCTGGTAATTTGATATCAATCTATGCATAATACAAAATTATTTGAACACAATCTTCCGGTTATAAACACTTTGGGTAATATAGAATCACCCGTTTGAGTGAGGAATCCTCTTCATTATCAGCCACACTGTCATGGATGTACAGACCAAGTATATAACCATAAAAATCCTGTCCATCACCATGGCAATCTGTTTCCACTCGTTTTTCATTTCCTCTGTGCTGTCCTCCTTGTCGAACCTTTTTGTAACTTTTTTAACTTCCTGCAACAGCAACCGCATAACGGCGATCTGCTCCGTGCAACATGGCGATAACTTCGTTAAGTTTTTCTTAAGCTTCTTTAAGCCGTTTATTGGTGATCCGTCAATCTGGCCGTCGAGGAACACCATCTCCATCAACGAGCCAGACTCCTCACTGATGTCGCTGTTCCGCAGAAAAGAGTCTTTCGAGATATTTAAGGACATTGTTGCGTTAGTAACTCTTATGCAGACAATTTTAGCTAGGTATTTTAGGAATAGGATCTTAGCCCACTTCGGAACTCGAGAGTACATCGGACCTCTGTAGTGAAGATTTAAGACAATTATCGTCATTGCCATTGATATCGATACCAGAAGCATCGTTGCAGCATAATACTTTCCTATAGTGAAAAAGAACAATAATTTTAAATAATATAATTTAGGTCTAGGAGGTTTACGTAGCCAAGCGTAGGTTCATGCTAATTCTGGCATCCAATGAGCGTGCACTGAGGCAGCCTAGATGTGAGGATGTGACATATTTATCCAATCAGCTATATATTTCTAACAGGATGATAGCAGACGGATTAATAGAGGTTATGCACAGTACCGGAAGATGATGATAAATGTGAATATGGCGTCTGAGATATTTTAGCTAATGATTGGTTTTAGTGCAGTTGCCACTTCTTTCCTATGCTCGTTTATGATTATTCTATTAGACAACTGTGTTCTACAGTCATAATTATGAAGCTTAGTTACAACATCGACGCCCATAAATTTCTTCAAGTTCTATTTATAAATCAATAATTTAGATCTGCAGCTAAGTTGTGAATAATAAATGATAACACACTTGTTTCTTATATAGGCCTATTTATTTGTATAGGCCTAGATGAAATGACCTAGCTTCTTTTTTTTTTTTTAAAGAAAGACATCACTCTGTCAAATACACCAACTTCTAGCCAGTCTGTCAGAAATTTGCCCAATTGATATGATCACGGCTAATATACACTAGGCCTATGCATAAGCATGGAGAAAATAATTTGACTTTCTCCATGGTTCATTGTTTTAAAAAAACCGATATACTTGCCTATAATCGGTACTTCACTAGAGGGCGGCATTGATTCCGCAATCAAAAGCAGGAAAACCGTTAACGATAACAGAACGGTGATCGTTAAGCTTATTTTCTCTCCGGAATCCACGGGAAGAAGAAAACAAAGCACCGTGGTTGAGGAGATGAGAATACAGGGCAACACCAGGTTGAACACATAATACATTGACCTCCGCCGGAAGTATAACGTATATACAATATCGGTGTAAGTAATACCAGGTGCATCCGGGTACGATTGAAGGTTTGAAGAGGAGTTCATACCAACCATGTCCCATTCACCGTCACTATTGAACACCGAATCGTCTCCTATTAATAAAAAGAGAATCTGCATCGTAACAACTATAATTGTGATCACCAAAGCACACCAGTTTTCAAATAAAAATGAAAATTAGTAGAATTGATAATACCTCCATAAACATACCAGCCGACGTCACAATTGTCCGTATTTATTCGACCAACGTGCACATCTGTGCAGAACTACGATTGAACCGCGTGGCATCGCAGAGGCAAACTTAAAAAGGCGTCTCAGTTCTGATTTGGTTTAATTCATTTAATCTCAAAAACATACAAACATAAAACCATTTACAATAAAAACGTATTAAAAACATTCTATTTTAAATTCATTTTTTGATATATTAAACAAACGTAAGCCATCCATCAACGAGCACACATCTCAAATGTGCCGGACTGCACCGTCCAATTCAAGATGGAGGGGTGAGATATGTAGGCTAGGGCTACAATTTTTTCCCAAAAATATTATTTAAAAGTCACAGGTTAAATGGAGACTCGAAGTTAATAATGACGTCTTCTCTGGATGTAAGAGAGTAATGACTGTGTGAGATGGATTGGCCCGTAACCAGGTTCTTCCAAGGGTGGGGGGGGGGGTGGGGTTCTGGGCGTGAGGTCTACGGTCGAAGCCCCGGTGGGGTCGGCGAAACCCCCAAAGCAAGGGGATTTTTGTGCTTTATGGGTCTGAATAATGCTATAAAAGCAGATATGTTTGAAAAGGTCTTTGTCTGGGTGGGTCTGCAGTGCATTAGTTGGGTTGGAGGACTTATTTGGGAAATTTGAAGAGGGGGTTCGCTAGAAAAGGGGGTTCTCCTGAACCATAAACCCACCACCCCACCCCCTCCCCGGATACGGGCCTGGATTTATCCAGGATGATGACTGGGGTTGGCGCCAAAATATAATGATCAACGACTTATTCCACATGGTTCTCTCGGTTTAAATAATACAATATTATAGTCTGCATCGAGCCTGAAACTGCGTCACATCCAACCACAGCACGAATAATAATAATATTCCGTAACAATATGAACATATTTCTAGACGTTAAAAGTGGTTTAGAAGCGGAATTATACGACAAAATTTTAATTATTTTTTTTAACCATATTTATAGACGGTGACCCTTCCAGCGTATATTCAGAATGTCGGCTGATATTCAGGGGCCCTCTTTAAATAAATGAAATAATGTGATAAAATAATCCAATCCAATAAACATCTCAATCGTCTAAAATGACAGTTGCTTTAAAATACGTAACGTTTAATTATGACGTCATATTTTTAGAGTAACACAACGTTTCTTAAATCTACACTGCAAGGAAACCAATGTAACGTTAATTATGACGTCAAAGTTGATAAGCGTAACTCCAGGTTAAGCAAACATCGTGTAAATGCATACCAGCACGGTGACAGAATCACTTTAAAATATGCTTATGTAATGATCGAAAAACGATTTACTAAAGGCTAAATTCGCGATACGACAGTTTGAAATATTTGATGTAGTTCCGACAGTTGCCACATACAATAACTATTGCCGTAAGTGTCACAATATGCTAAGGTATGCTAAGGAGAAACTGATCATCAAGCATTATGTGGAAACACTCAGTTTTTTTGCAAACGTGTTTACGTTTGTTGAGTTTAATATTTTTAGAAAATTTGGTAAAAAATAATTAAAAGTAGATAAACACATTTTTTGCCAAAGTAAGTCACTTGAAAAAGAGACGGACAATGCAATAGAATAACTGCTTATTATATTGCCATGTATAGAATTGATATTTATCGGTAATTTTAGGAAATTAATTTTACATCTCATCATTATATCATCAAAACAATTTTTAAAGATGTTGGTACTTGTAGGTACTTGCAGGGCACGGCTGGCAATATACAGTGTTCATGTTTCGATTACTAACTAACTAGAAAATAAAACTCAAAAAACATTTAATACTTTAAAGACTAGTTTATTTGACAGTACACTAGCTTTCTTGCACACAGTGCACTTCTTCAGGTGAATGTTTTTTTTTAATTTAAAAAAAAAACAATACTAACTAGTTAGTTAATGATTTTAGTTAATGATTTTATTGTATTGGCTTTCCTACAACCGTATTATATGCCTATTCCTGCTATTCATTAAAAATATTGTACATTTTAATTAGGTACAACGCATTTCCTTCATTTCTTAAAAGTAAGTAATGTATAATTATAATTATTTATAATAATTTTATAATTAATATGAAGTATTATATAGAAACTAATCAAAAAATAACTACTAAAGCAGAATATGATAGTTGCTTAGCAGAAGTGTAATTATTGAAGCCATTATGTGCCTTACTGACCCCGAGGAAGCATATCTTGCGATTGCAGAAATTAATTTTGATTTGTCTGTATTCTTATTAGTTTATGTCGGTCTCATTTTGATATTTGATCTTTCTTTCTAGTAATAAGAATCCTCTCCAATTCAGTTGCTGGTTGTAATTGTATTTTTCATCTTATGGCAATAAAGATGTACCAAGAATAGGGCCATTAAAGATGTACCAAGAATAGGGCCATTAAAGATGTACCAAGAATAGGGCCATTATGCATGTCCATCAAGACATGCATACTTTGGCTAGAGATCATAGGCTACCCAAGACACACATTGGACAGAGACCATTGCCCGAGACATACATATCTTGGCTAGAGATCATTACCCAAGACATACATATATGTATATAAATAATAATAATAATAATAATAATAATAATAATAATAATAATAATAATTGTGTAACATATAAAATGGATGAGTTTTTCATGCAGAACCTGTTCTTACAAATGGTCCATTTTCTAAAAATGCTAAAAAATAATGAAATATTATTAAGTGAACTTTTTCTTTAACTCGGAAAGTAATCAATAATAATAATATGTAGAGTACCAGTAGTAATACCTGTCTCTTATACACATCTAGATGTGTATAAGAGACAGATATATATATATATAGCCCATATCTTAGATTACCCAATACCTACATACCTTGGCCAGAGGTCATTACGACTTCATTTCCGTCATGCTGCCACGGTCCAAATTTCATCTTACATTTCTGATCATCAAACGGGAAATTCATAACGTTTAGTCTACAGTGAGATTTAACGATGATTGGCGACGCCCAATTACAGGTTCCGTTGTGGTAGAGAACTATTATTTTGTCTTGTAGGAACTGCGTATACGCAGTGTCGGCACTATTTAAAATCAATGAAAGTGGTAGTGAGTAAAAACAATAAAAATAACAATTAAAATAATAGCGATATAGAAAATAAAACATTGGAATTTTATTAATAAATGCGTATATTAATAGTATCAAACCATAAGAACATTTAACATTAACGATACGACAGCGACAAATAAAAGCAATGCTAAAGGCCTGTTTATACTTCAACGATAATGACAACGATGAAAAAGCTAAAAAGCAATTGTTTATATAGAAAACAAAATAAATACGAGAGGCTTTTACACTAGGACGACGTATAAACAGGCCTTAACGGTGGCAATAACAGTAAGAAGTGACAATGACAACAGTAAAGGCAGTTGCTACGGTAACTCAACGTAACAACCGCAACAATAATAATGATAATTGGATTTCTATTACCTCATTGTTTTGTGTTTAGGAATTGATGTATTGTTTTATAACTTACTTGTTATATTTTCAATATATTTGTATACAGCTGACTTATTTTTGTAATATAAAACATTTCAGCCCATCCGACTGCCGTGAATAAATAAATAATAATACAAAATTATTAATGCTAATATAAAACAATTAATCGAACCAATACGAGTTTACCTGCCATTAATGTGAGTATGTAATACTGTACATATATTTATCTCTGATGGTTTTGTTACAATATTACAATATTCACTTTATCATCTTCTAGAGTTTGTTTTGTTCTTTATCTTCTAGAGTATAACTGCGTTTAACATTATCTCCAATCTCGAACACACCTAAGGATATGCTGGTTTGATTTTGATTGTTAGAGAAAATTTGAGATATTCGCAATTTTGTATAAAATATGATAATAAAGTTGAAACCAAAATATGTTTTAATGATGCGATCGCATATTATGTGGATATATCTCCTTCAAATATTGAAACATCATAATTATTATTTGAGTGAAAAAAAATCACTATCGAATGATAAATAAATTGACATGATTAGGTTATGATATACGAATTTGTTCTAGATTAGCCAATTTCAATACCACATTCAATTATTAATACCGGATGAAATTAATCATCTTTTACAGCAATTCTTTGTTATGATTCTGTGATAGAGTGATAACATTTAACTGTTCCCTAGTCAAATAAGAGAGCGATTGATGTTCATGGGCACAGATCATGGGGACAGGGGGACACTTCCCCCATCCATATTTTAAAGAGGGTTGGTACCCCACCACTTTTCGGCGGCAATGCGATTTCGTAAGTCAAACAATGCCTGATAATTTTTGAAATGAACTGCATCATGACCAAGGTTTTAATGAAAAACAATACATCCGCACATTTTATATATATAATTCTATACTATAGTGTTAGTATTTTAAAGCTTTTTTTGACTACCCAATACAGATTCTTTCCTAGGATCACTCAAAATGAATAAATACATAAATACATCAGCAAACGTTGTATATATAATATTACTATATAAACATAATGCAAAATATAACATTTTCGGGATAATATAACGGCTTTACTTTACTCAGAGGGCGGTTTTATCAAATTTACTTTTAAAAAATCAGATTAAACTCGTATTAAATCCATAAATCCCAGGCCAGGTCTTTTAAGATACAGAAATGTGATAATGTATGGTTTTTTCTGTCCTTTTACAAACTTTCATAGAGTTCTGTTTAAAAATATTACCAGTAGTAATACAGTGCACCCTCAGATTCGGGACGCCTCTAATTCCGAAACCCCTATAATTCGAGACCACTTTTCTACCAACTAACAATCTTCAACCTTTTAACACAAAGCTAGCCCTCTATTTGGAGTCCAACTACGAGATTTTCAGGTCCCAAAGCTGGTCTCGAATTGGAGGCGAACTGTAGTAGTAATAATAATAATGATGACGATAATGATGGTGATAACGATAGTAGATACGATAATAATATGAATAATACTACTAAAAAGTGCTAAAGCTGAGCTAAAATGAAATGTATAATTTGTCCAATCATTATAATTATTATTGTAGTTAAAGCTTAGTAAGCGATTAGTTAGGCCTAGTTGTCCTGGGTTGCCTAGATCTTTATGTTTGCCAAAAGTCCCTGATAAAAGATCATGAGAGAAAATTGTTGGCGCTTCATTTTGACTATGTGATGATGAATGTCACTACATAAAAGAGTCAGGCACGCTAGAGGTACTATTTCCGCAAACGTTCTCACCTCAGCCCCAGCCATCGTGGGGCTGATTTGGATCGACCCAACTATATCTGTGAAAGTCCCTCCCTGGTCCACCTCTCTTTTGGATTCCTAGATCCGTTGCTGTTGAGTTATTATTATACTTGTTATTAGACCTACTAATATTATTTATGATGTGTCTAGTGCAATTTTTACTTAATACCCTCAAAACCGTCCTAAAAATTCCAGAATGCGCTACATCCCAGGGTCCTCACCCCCTGGACCCCACGTAGGTTAGGGACAGTCCAGCCCGAACCCTCCCTCGCTCGATACCTCGTACCTCGTAAGACGGCTCTCCCTTTGAAAATGCTGGCTACGTCCCTTACCCATGGGTGGGTACTATTTCTTACTAAATACAGAAACACATTCTTTCATCATAATTATTAGAATCGGTTACCTGATTGATTTTAATTTACTTTTTAGTGAAACCCATTCATTAAATTTGTTGGGTTAAAGTTGATATTTCATGTCATCTGTCGATCTTTCTAACCGTCCATCAACTTCAGATCTAAATTATATGTCTCCCGGGTCACAATTCGTACGTATCAACTACTGTATTACCATACCATTCAAAATCTAGGATTGTTCTCTCGAGCATATATTTATTGCGTAAAATAACTGTAGTATTGTATGAACATCTCCCTGGTATGAACGTCAAGAGACGAAATGCAATTCCATTGTTTTGGATAAGACAAGTTAAATGATACGTTAAAAAATTTCACCTGTCCTATATTTCACTTTAAGATCATCTATATTTATCGCATGAATTGGTAGCGTAAGGTCAGATTCCATGTTGCCTCAATGTAATTTAGCAAAAGAAAATACAGTTTTCCATAATAATGTTTGTTTGGTCAGTTGGATTAGACTCCATGTGTGTTTTCTTTGCCATTTCATTTAATCGGTAATCGAGCCTAGTAAGCTATGAAATGATCGTAATTTAACGAATGGTAAGTTCTAGCAGAAAAGATCCTGTCACGTGATGGAATTTACCGTAACAAGTAACCCCGATATAAACTTTGTCGTAGTAATTTAATGACTGTCATCTATGATTCATTTCATCTTTTCGCGTTAAACACCGTTTCTAATACAGCCATATAAATTGATTTAATCTAAAGTGATATTAAGTTACACACACACACACAAACACACACCCACACACACCTGTCTCTTATACACTTCT